TAAGGAAGGAGACTCTAGAGAGCAAGAAGGTGAGAAAATAAAGGCGAGGAAATAATCAGTAAGAGGGTCTCTGGGCAGGTGGGAGGAGATGAGAGTCAAAGGTTGGGGAGCTGAGCCAAGGGGAGGAAGACATCTCCCAGCAGTGAGTGGGGAGCAATAAATACTAGTGGAATCAATGAGGGAAAGATAACTGCAGCTAGGGGGAGTGTAAGCAGGTTTGGTGGCAAAGAGCTGAGTGAGGGATTTCCTATTCTAGAGTTTCCAGTTTCTCCATGAGACAAAAATGGAGGTCATTGCTGAGAATCAGCGGCAGGGTGGTAGGGTCAAGGTTGGTCGTCTAACTTAGAAAAGGTCACTTCACATGGTATTCTTTACTCTGGGTTGGTACCACCATTCAGAATCCAGCACCCAGCCCTATGAGCCAGAATCCTGCCTTAACAAGCTCCCTCTCATCTCTCAGTGGTACACTCGCATTGCCCAAATTCAGGGGCCTGATGTATTTACAAGCCCAGGAACTGATCTACTGGACACAATCTACCTAACTTCCAAGTTCTTTCCCTGCAGAAGACCTGCAGGGGAACCAGATCATAATCACAAAGATCTTAATCAAGTAAATTTAATGTTTAATTGCATCAGGCTAAACCCATTGGAATCCCTTTTCCATTTCCAGGAGAGGAGGCCTTAGCCTAAGCTTGCCTTCTTTTTCTCTGCCGCAGGGCTGACCAGTTCTCTGTTGGACACATTTTTCCCTTTTGATATGCTAGTAAATTCAATCAGGTAGAGGACAATCTCTTGCCAGGGAGCCAGGAAGGTGCCTTTGTCTATCTCTGAGCTCATCTATTCTGGGAGAGCACACACAGCCCCCAGCACTGACAAGAAATTCCCCTTCATAGCAGAGAACTGGGCAAAGGTGGAACAAACACTTACAATGGCATTATGAAGGGTTGATCAGAAGCCCCGCGAGGACAGGGGACACATTCGGTTCTATGCTGCAGTGCTGGGAGAAACTTTTGGTAAAGGACCATATAATGAATGTTTCACCAAATCAGGCACAGACATGCAAATGAACAGGTGAGGCTGTTTTCCACTAAAACTTAATTTACAAAAACAGGGGGTGGCCTGTAATTCCCTCCCTCCTTGTTGCCCGCCCACAGTGCTAGCACCTAGCACAGACCAGCATATAGTGAGTGCTCAATGTTTGCAGAGAAGGGATGACTGCTGCAGTGCTTTCTCTCCATGTCTACCAGAACATCCTTGTTTCTGCAAAATTTCTCCCCATACTGGTGCTCTTAGGTGCTGTCTGGTCCATTGCAACTCATAGAGGGTGCATACGACAGCATGTGAATGTTCTAGCGAAGCAGGCTGTAATCTGGGCTGTAACCTTTAAGACCTTCAGGTCGTTTCTCCCAGAGTTGCTGGATAGGTTCGAACAGCTGACCTTTTGGTTAGCAGTCGAGAGCTTAACCTCTGCACCACCAGGGCTCCTTACCCATATTGGGTAAGGAATTGAACAGCCTGAAGCGAGAGCTAAGGAGAGAGGTGGGATGGGACCCTAGCATGATTTCCAAGTCTCGAGGATTTGCACTTACTGGTTAATGAATCATTCAAAACTAAAGACCCTTGGTCCAAGTTAAGGACTTTTAAAAATACCCTGAATGAATGTTTTCTTTAATTGAGTAGGTGTTTGGGAGACTGCACCCTGGTCTGGGGCCTAATGCATAAATAAAAACCCTGCCTGCTGACTCCATGTGCACTAAATATTCGATTTTGCTCCTTGAAGGCAGATCCTTCCTTCCCTGTTTCCCCTCCATTATTTTAATCAGGACACCTGGTGGCACAATGGTTAAGCACTCAGCTGCTAACTCAAAGGTTGGCAGCCTGAACTCCCTCAGTGGCTCCAAGAAACACCTGATGATCTACTCCTATAAAGATTATAGCCTAGAAAACCCTACAGGAAGTTCTACTCTTGTCACACCGATTCACCAGAGTCCAAATAGATACCCAACAATAACGGCCTTACTCAGAGCAGAGACTCAATGCTAGCTTGTCTCTGGGGCTGTCCAGTGACAGCCACAATGGCCTTTTTTTTTCTTTTCTTAACACTTCTCCTATTTTTCCAAATTTTCTACAACTATCATGTTCAAAAGCAACCATAATAAAGTCTTTGTTAGACCAAAACCAAAGGGTTAATAATATGCCCACAGGAATTGGTCAGCTTAGTGTACTTTTCCCTGCTTGGATGCAAACCTTTCTGGTTAAACACGTAAGAATGAGAAGAGACGGAGCAGTTCAGCTCTCTGCCTGCACTAAATGCTGCTGTTTGTCTTCTGACTTCTGCGAAAAGATCATTATCCTATTAATGGTAGCAAATAATTAAGATTACTTAAAAACCCTCCATAGGGCGCCTGACTTGCCAAGAACCCTCCCAGCGCCTGGGCCTCTGGTGAGGGTGCAGTAAACATTCTCAGCCTGTTTCCAGGGAATTGGACCCAGAACTTTCCAGTCCTTTTATTAAAAATATAGATGGACAAAAATGTGATTCTCTTTTTAAAAAACAATTCATGATTATGTCCTGGAGGCTAACACAGTGCTTGGTACAGGTGTTCAATAAATATTTGCTGAAAGAAATTGGGAACATGGCTCCTTCTGGGGAGAGTACAAGGAACCAGGGTCTGGAATTGTAGAAAACTTGCTTTTGGCTGTTAACTCTTTTGCACTTTGGAATTTTCACCTTGTTTATTATTAACTTAGAGGTTCATTTTTGAAATACATCTTATTTATAACTAAATCGTTTAAGTCTTGTTAGGTCAAAATAGTAATTATACTGTTTCATTTAAATATAGGTAGATTACAAAAGTTTGCTCTGTAAGTAAAACAAATTCTATGTCGGTTGTTGTCTTAAAACAAACACACACACTGCCATCAAGTCGGATCCGACTCATGGCGACCCCTCCTTGGGTTTCTGAGGCAGTATCACTACAGAAGTAGATTGCCCCATCTTCCTTCTGAGGAGTGGCTGGTGGGTCTGAACCATCAACCTTCTGGTTAGTAGCCAAATGCCTTAGGAAATGAAAATAACAATTGTAAACATTTATTTAGCACTTACTGGGTATCAGGCAACAGCCCAGTGCTACATATATATATACATATATATATATAAATCACTTAATCCTTTTAACATCTCTGTGAGAGGCAGGGACATTATCATCTTCACAGAGAAGAATACTGAAACACAGAGAGAAACTGAGGCAGCACGGCCAAGGTCATTTAGCTCTAGGGTAACTGATGGGTTGTATGACCCAGGAGCCCAGGTGATTAGCCACTGTACATACCACCTCCATATACAGAACTGGAAACATGTCCAATCCTGATGCCCTCAATTTAATAAATTATCACCCGAAGAAATTTAAATAATAAAGTATTTGCTGAGAATCATCCCAGGGAAGCTTAGCCTACCTCTTCCTAAAGGAAGGTAGAGAAGGAGGGAAAAGAAGGGCCACATAGGGCTCTGAACCAAGGAAATGTGGACAGGGAGCAGGAATGTGGAATGGGTTTTATCTAACCTGGTTTGCAGTTTCTGCCCCAATGGAGTAGTGAGTGCACAAGCAGCAATTTTTGTCTATTTTGCTCACTAGCCCATCACCAGCACCTAGAACAATGCCTGGGTCTCAGTAGACACTCAATAGATACTCCAGTGAATGAATGAACCAAGGGTTCTACCACTGCCAATGCAGTATCATGGCTGCCATGCACTTGACACCAGCCCATGGAAGTCCCACCCACCATTATCGCCCATTAACCTAGGGATGACTTTACAGAGGCCACCACCAGGGTTCTTTTTTGCCTTTATCAGAAGGAAGCATTCTAGAACCCATTAAAGAGCAGCCAACCACATTCCCATCAGAATGTGACTCAGCTTATATGCAAATGCACTTCTTGAGAAGCCCTGGAAACCTGGCCAAACTGGGACTAGCAGTAAAGAGTGCTCAAGGAACGTTCCCTTTAGCCTTCTGCCTGGCTCTTACAGTGAGAAAATAGCCACGTTTCACTTTTGCTAATTTAAAAAGATAAAAAAAAAGTGAGGTACCCATTATACTTCCACAGGTTGGAATCACTGAGCACATGATACAAGAGTCAATTCTTTCCCCCAAAATGAGTTTTTTGAAGGGGGCCTATTTGACAGCGTTGCCCACACCAGTGTGAGGCATACACGAGGCGAGGCATTTGTGTGGATTTTCTTTGGGTAGGTGTGGGGTGCATGTGCCGGCACCCTGAGGCGTGCATGTCAGTTTCAACAACAGTCTTGGAGTTATGTCTTTGTCCAGAATCTCAGAAAGAGAAACCCTGAGAGTCAGAAAAGGGGCCTTTCAGAAGCTCTGTTCCAGCGGGCCGGACGAGGCAGCTCACCGGAACCACCTGGGTTTCCGGTTGGAAGGGCTGGCCGCGGCGCCCCACCCACACCCCAGCGCCCAGGTCCACCCCAGCCACCACGCACCTTGGATGGTCCTCTTGAAGAATGCCTTGCAGGCCTCGCAGGAGGCCACGCCGTAGTGATAGCCAGAGGCAATGTCCCCGCACACGAGGCACAGGCGCTTGGGGATGGCGTTCAGCATGTACTCGCACTTGATGGCCGAGTCCTCCATGATGCCGCTGGCACAGTCCTCGTAGCTCTTGCGGCACGGGGTGCCTCCCAGACCCGCGCCTGCAAACATAGGTGGCGAGTCCAGGCCGCTGGCATGGGCGCCCAGTGCCATGCCAAAGCCACCGCTGGCGTCGGACGAGCCACTGGGACTGTGGTGGCTGAGGGCATCGATGCCCGAGGACGGGCTGGACGGCTCAGTCTTGATGAAGGAGCCGCAGCTGGAACCGAGGTGCCGGTCGTCTGCGGACATTCTGTTCAGCAGCCTGTGGACACAGAGGCGGGGGAGTCAGTTCTGAGCAGGGTGCGGTGGGTGTGGCTTTGGGCTCCGGCACCGACGGGGCGGGGCGTCTGGGAGGGGCTCTCCATGAAGACCTTGATGAGATAAAATGATAGCTGAGACAGCCAATGGGTCACAAAAGAGTACAGCCCTAAACAAGTTTATGGGATTGATTACCTGCAGAACCTTCGGAATCACTAAAGAAACTATGCGTAGATCAATAAACTTGAGAATTAAGAATTGTGGTTTGAGAATTGCTGACTTGAGAGACACAAGATGGTAACTCTTTATTCAACAAAGTAGTTGGCCCACCTTAAAAGGAGCTCTGGTTGCACGGTGGTTAGAAAGCTCAACTGCTAACCAAAAAGTCAGCGATTCAAACCACCAGCTTCTCCATGGAAGAAAGATGTGGCAGTCTGTTTCTGTAAAGATTACAGCCTTGGAAACCCTATGGGGCAGTTCTGCTCTGTCTCATAGGATTGCTAGGAGATGGAGTGGACTCAAGGCTGAACATTTGGGTTATTTTCGTTCATTTGTTTCTACATGGCAGTAATACATGCTGGGTACAATTTATCATTCTGGTGCACCTGGCCAGGAATCTCACAATAGCCTGATAACCCATTTCACAATATCCTTCATTCATGATGGTGTCCCCACTGGGGCATCTGGTAAACCCAAGCTTGCTGCTTCCCCTCCAAACCCACCATCACCAAGACTGGGATCAGAGGTGCCAAGTCAACTAGCCACGGGCAAGAGGAGCGGCTTGTGACTGCCTTCTGGGCTTTGTCTCTGGCCCAGCCTTGGCAAGAGAGCACAGATACGGAGGGCAACTTCAGGCCCCATTTCTCAATGCCCTTCCTAGACCCTGAGCAGGCCAGCTTCCACCAGCCCCTTCCACCTCCCCTTCTAGAGACCACCTCCATCAGGCAGCATGGGGGAGCCTTCCAATCCCAACCTTGTGTATCCCCCAGCACATTTCCTAACCTCTCTGAGCCCTGGCTGCCTCATCCACACAGTAGAAGGATCCTACCCAATATGGCAGGAACACTGGGAGGAGGAATAGTCACTGCCATTAACAAAAGCCCCTCCTCCAAGAACCATGTTGGGTGGGAGAGAAGGGCAGGAAGGGTGTGACCCTCTCACTCACCACCTCCTGGGATGAAGGGAGGAGACTTGTCTCTCTCTCAGTAAGCAAGAGAGGTAAGATGAGCCCAGCCCACAGCAGGAGAGGTCAAGGGATGTGTTCTGGAAAACTCAGTCCCAGCCACAGGCCACACTCAAGACCCGTGGCGCCAGCCAGGACTGGGATTTGGAGTCAGACCTGGGTCAGGTTTTCTGTCCCTGTCCTGGCCACATGACCTGGGAACGTTGCTTCACTCTCTGAGCCTCCCGTGTGGGGTGGAAAGATGATGAATTCTAAGGAGCAGGTAGAAGGAAAGAGGGAAAGATCTTGGAAACTGCAAAGGGCTAGAGAGGTCAGTGGTGTTCTGGTTACCTAATGCCTCTCTGACGGGAATATACCCGCAAATGGGATGGCCTGAACAAGCAGGGGTTTATTCTTACAATTTGGAGGCTTTAAGTCCAAGTTCAGAGTCCCAGGCTCTAGGGGCTGGGTGAAAGCCCCTTAACCTTGGGGTCCAGCTCTGTCTCCTGCTCCCAGCCCACTGGAGCTAGAGTCTTTTTTTCACTCAGACAGCTGCTGGCTGCTGAGACTGACAAATCCAAGGTTGACAAGTAAAAAGGCACAGTCCTGATGTTACCAAGCCACACGGCAGGCCATTAATTTAAGTCCATTGAAAGTCCCAAGGTCGGCAGAGCATGGCAGGCGGCTGAACAATGACACAGCTACATGCAGAGTCCAAGCACGCCATATGCTAGAGACTATCTCCAAGGCTTCTCCTCATATGCAGGAAGCAGACCACATCCCAAAAGCAGCTACTCAGCTTCTTGTGATAGATCCCACCATGGAGTTGACTACCAGTCTCATCACAGGGAATAATTACCACCAGCTGCCCAGCCATTCAACCAGGCCCAGCCAAGCTGACACACAAATTTAACTATCACAAGTGGTAAAACCAGCTGCTGTTGAGTTGACTCTGACTCAGCAATTCCACATGTCAGAGCAGAACTATGCTCCATAGAGTTTTTAGTGGCTGATTGTTCACAAGTAGATTACCAGGCCTATCTTCTGAGATACCTCTGGGTGGACTAGCACTTACAACCTTTCTGTTAGCAGCCAAGGGTGTTAACCCTTTGCACCACCCAGGGAGTATAACAGCATTAATGGAAAGATGACTCATGGTTGGGAGGGTATCAGTGCTGAGGCCCAGTGGGGGAGCAGCCAGGGTTCTACCTCCACCATTGCTCAGTAACAATAACGTTACATCTGAAAGGACTGGTCACCACCTGCGAAAAGACCTGCCCACTTCACATCACAGATTTGACCATAAACCAATACCACAAAATGTTTGTAATGTTATGATGGGGAGGCACCTCCAATGTCCTTGCTTCCATGAATGATTTCATAATTGTAGGTGTAGTGAGCAAGGTATTTGGCTACTAACCAGAAAGTCAGAGGTTCAAACCCACCAGTTGCTCCGCGGGAAGAAGATGGGGGCAATCTACTTCTGTAAAGATTTACAGCCTCAGAAACTCAATGGGGGTAGCTGTGAGTCGGAACAGACTCGATAGCAGTGAGTTTGTTTTTTTCATACCTCCCAAGATGTTGTCTCGTCTATACTTGAACGTGTCCCCACCCACTGCTGTCAAGTCAAATTCCATCTCATAGAGATCCTATAGGACAGAGTAGAACAGCCCCATAGGGTTTCCAAGCCTGTAAATCTTTGCAGAAGCAGACTGCCCCATCTTTCTCCCACAAAGCTGCTGTGGGTTTGAACAGTTGGCCTTTCAGTTATGAGCTGAGGGCATCACCATTGTACCACCAGACTTCCTCTGAACATGTCCAGTGACAGGGAATATATTGCCCTATAGATCACACTATTATGGTTCACACTACTAATCTAAAGGTTGGCAGTTCAAAAGTAGTCAGTGGCACTGCAGAAAAAAGGCCTGTCAATCTGCTTCCATAAAGACCACAGCCAGCAAACCCTGTGGAGCAGTTCCACTCTAACACACGGGTCACCATGAGTTGGAGTCAACTTGTCAGAACTGATCTGGTTTGGTTTAGATCATTCTAACCACAGACTGTTTTCCTTTCTTTCTCTTCCCCTGGAGCTGTCACTCAGTGGTCCAAGTACTGCTCCTTGGGGCCACCCAGAACATAGTTGTATCCCTCTTCCCTGTCAGCCCTTCAAACCTTTCATTCATTCATTCAACAAAGTCATGTATTGAGCGCAGACTCTGTATCAGAGACTGAGCAGGGTGTTTGGGATAGAAAGATAAAAGATATTTATAAGGCTCCTACTCTCAATTAGTTTATAATCTATTGGTATGTAGTGTTTGAAGATAGGAGCTGTGGCCCCCCCAGTCTCTTCTGTTCTGAACTGAATGTTCCTTTGTCCTCTGAGGTACCTCTCCTAAAAGCCCCAACTCAAGATGGCCTTGAGAAGGTCTTCCACTTGAGGGTCTCCTCTGGGCCCTTTTGTATCTCTGGTTGGTGCCCCATCAGTACCCTGAGCTCTACACTGCCACCTCCTTTCCCTCAAAGCACCAAAGCCTTGGTGTGTCTATAGAAAATGCCAACGTTCTCCCAGCAGCCTGGCAGAAACTAATGCACAGGCAAACCTAACAGAGCAGGGTCAAGTGCACTTCTGGATTTCCTCCTCAGAAGGCCCTTTCCCAGGTCAGCAGAGGACAGCTGATCAGATGCTCTTTCATTTTTTGGAGCCCTGGGGTGGTACATCCTGTTAACGTGCTCAGGCTACTAACCAAAAGATTGGAAGTTCAAGTCAATCCAGAGGTATCTCAGAAGTCTCGTGATCAACTTCTGAAAAATCAGGTATTGGAACCCTATGGAGCACAGCTCTATTCTCACATATATGAGGTCACCATGAGTTGGAATGGATCAGAATCGATTCCACAGCAACTGTGTTTTGGGAGGATTTTATTGGCTTGCTGTTTTAGACTCTGCTGTTCACAGGACCAGCCCAGCACTGCTAGGATAAGCCCTCGTGGGTCAGACAGCTCCCAGACCCCAGGCCTTCCATCTCCACCCTTCCCTCAGGCTCAGAAGAGCTCCAGCCATTTCAGGAGATACAATTGGTGTAAACAATAATTAAGCAGCACCTACTTTGTAAGCTTGCATTACATGCCTCTCTCCTTCCAATCTTTATTTGGACTTACTGGAAGTATTTTCTCTGAGGGGCACAGATGAACAGCCCCATAACCACTGCCAGAGAGAGCAGGCCACACCTTCCCCAATTGTCTTCCTCCAGATTCCTAGCTCAGGCAAACCTGACAGACATGAAGTTCTGTCCCCAAGCCTTGGTTTTCCACTCCTGCCCATTTCCTTGATTAAGGAGAAGAACACAGAGCACCCTGCTGGGGCCTAGGAGACAACACGGGCCTTCCACAGCCCCTGGCTGGAGACCCAGAGGCTGGGGCAGAGGCAAGCTCAACCCTGGCTCAGTCAGTGCTGGCAGGGGAACCTGTTGCTGACTTGGTGCCCAGTCCTAGCTGAGTGGTGTCTAACCATGTCATGTCTGCTTCTGGTTTCCCTGTCATCTCTGTGACCATTATTTTGGGTCCACCAGGATGTCTTTTTCTGGGGATAGTCGACATGTATTTTGGGGCAGTAATCAATGTCCATGGAAGTAGCAATCAGGAAATGAATGTATGCCTTGGGCAAATCTGCTGGGGGAGAAAAAAAAGATCTTTTAAAAAGCAAAGATGTCACCCTGATGACTACGGTGCGCTTAATTCAAGCCATGGTCTTTTCAATTGCCTCATCTGCATGGGAAAGCTGGACAATGAAAAAAATGAAGCAGCAGAAGAATTGATGCCTTCAAATATTAGTGTTGG